TGTGTGTGTGTGTGTGTGTGTGTGTGTGTGTGTGTGTGTGTGTGTGTATGTGTATGTGCGCGTGTGTGTGTGTGTGTGTTACATATTAGAAAGATATAGTAGGAATCAGGTTCATCTTCTCACTCGGAAACCCATCTGATTTCGAGACTCGGATGGGCGACCCGATCGGATCAAATCCGGTTTGAATTAAAATCAGCCTGCTGATCTTCAGGTTATAAATAAAAAATTTGTTAAAAGTTATGTAACGAAAGTTATTGTTTATGATGTTAGTATTTATAGTCCTGCCAAGTTGACAGTATTTTGAAAATCACCTTGTATAGATATATATTTAAGGATGGTAATTTATTCAGTTGTGTTTTGCTTAGATGATGCGAGGTCAACGGTGAGAAGAGCGATTTGAACGATAAAATATCAGTTTCGGTTCGTACCTGCATTTGGTACAACTTTCCTATTTCGAAACATATTTCTTTCGATCTCCCAATGACCGTCTCGTTAGTTGCATTGGCTAGCAAGAAACCTAAGTCGACAGGGAGCCAAAACGTGTAAAACGACGTCTTGTATTTCGCAATAGTTTCATAATGTTGCATGGTGAACATACTGTAGTCGTTTTTCTTTCTTTTGGCCATTGTGTGGTCTAAGTACTGACCTATTGCTGTTAGCAGGCTTGCCTGAAATATAACCAGTTTTATTTAACGTTATTTATACTTGTAGTAACGTTACATATTTATTCAATACCCCTCTGAGGTGACTCGTATGAATTAACTTAGAAGGTATAATTTATATTTTATGCAAAAATAAATAGGTATGTGACAAAAAATAATAATTGTTTATTGTTAATAACTTTCTTAATTAATCTGAAGCCTTTTATCACTACATTCACAGAAGCAAAACTCCATGGTGTTCCATCTCTTCGCCTGTTTTAAATAATATAAAGTGACAGGACGAACAAGTGATGCGCCTGATGGTAAGCTATACGCCTGTCCATAACAGTTGCAGTGCCACTCAGAATTTTAAATCGTAAAGATCTGAGGGGCACTGCCGGTGCGCCCGTAACCCTGAGACAAGTTAATAAGTCCCATGTGCCTGTAATTTCACCAGCACCCTTACCCTTCACACAGTAATGCTGACGTTAGAGCTTGGCGGCAGAAACAGTAAGGCAGTACTTCCCTGGACGAACTCTTTCACAAGGAGCTCTATCTCCACCTTTCGTACTGTTCCGCAGTCCCGACGGCGCTAGTAATCTGCTGAGGAGCCCTTTCCGTGCTGCAGAAATTCCACCCTATCCATCACAAAGAGAGGCGCAACGGAACACCTATACATTACGGGCGGCGGACGCCCCAGTGTTCACCGTCAAGACCCCTGTTATGAGGGTATGCAACATCACGAGTTCGCAGACGGATACTACTTTCCAACATTGATTTACTTAATGCTGAAATTGAAAGATCGTCCCACCACTGCGGCAACTAGTTCCCGGCACTCTCTGGCCCAGGCTGTGCACACCACAGACCACATAAATACTGTGCACACCAATAGTGCCACTTAGTTGTCGGTTACCTCATCAAATGAGTGCAAACCTGCATCAACGGATAATGTTGATTAATTTGTTTGTTGTTGTTACTATGAAAATTTTTATGTAATCTAAAGAAAGGAATCGTAGGGGGAACCTGATAAGCGGTAATACTAAAATTCTTGTTTACCCTTACCTAAGTAGGTAACCTACCTCTTTAAAACGGTGAAATATATCTTGATACTCCGGCAGCTGTCGAAACTTCATGCGCAGTATTTCGAAGACCGAAGAATAGACGAGGACAGAGTCATTGATAGCGCTGTCGACACCCACGTAGGGGAGCCGGTACCAGCATGGGACACCGCGTCTGGTCGAGGATCTATCCATTATATCATCCGTGATGACAAGGTACGTGTGATACTATTGGACAATTGAAACAATAATATATAAAAAGCCTCCATTGGTTTGTCACTGGCGACGCTACGTTAAAATAGTTGTTTCAAAAAAAAAACAAAGAACGGCAACAAGACATAGAGAAATTCGTGAAGTCTGCTGATTCGTTCCGAAGCTCAGTTACGAGAGCGGTTAGTCCCGGTCTGGCAAACACGTGCTGGTTCGAATCCAGCGGGATAGAAGGAATTTTTCTTTATGTTTGTTCGATCTTTGTATCAATAATACTTAACATCAAACTAGTGGAGTATTTTCACAAAAAAATATGACTATTATGAAAATAATAATAACGCATAATGACGCACACACTCATAGCCCCGAGTGCAATTATTATATATAATAGCATTAGGGAAACCCTGGGAAATCGCGGGTGCCATGGACATACATATATACAACAACAAATTACAACCAAACTCAAGAGAGAAATAAATGTAGGCCATACATATACTTCTTCCGGCCCGGGAATCGAACCAGAGATTTCAGCGTGGCAGTCCAGCACGGACACCGTTCGGCCACCGAGGCAGTTAAAATAAAAACATGATATTCAATCAAACAAAAAAATTTGCAATAATGTGTACATGGTCATAATTCAAACTACGCATCATGTATCGTATACTAAGCGACATTACCAAAGGTATGATTTTGCCACGATTTTGCCTCGTAGCAAATCATACCTTTGGTAAATACCGCCACATGTGAGTATACTTCAAAAATACTTTAATCCCATAAAAGTCTTAAAAATAGTACGAACGAAACGAACGAACGTAAATTTTTTTTAACTTTTATTTGAGCACAAAAATGTTATCGACTATTTTATAATTTCGTTCGTAGAAACTTTAGATATGTCTCTTCAAAAGTAGATATTTTGCAGATGTGGCCTTATTACACCAAGAGAGTGATTTGTTTACGAAACATTTCTGCTCTATAAACTTTCCTCCAACTTTTAAATAATTTTAGAACCGTTAACTGTATTTATTTGCTGTACTCAGTACATGATCTTGAACAAAGAAAAGAATAACAAATAGGTACAAAACAATTTCATACTGGACACACAAACAAAAGAATCAAAATTTATAAAGCGTCCACTTTGTTAAGCTGCAAATCAAGACATATTCACGACATGGTCTTAGTGTAGTATTGCAATTTTTTTTATACAAAATGTTCAGCCGTACCGAATATGGCCTCTCCTGGCTGTCTCACTGTTGAAAAAAAAAATCAAAATTTACAGGTCACACTTTATTCGCATTCATAAATGTATGTGTTTGTATTTGCTATTTTTTTTTTTTTTTTTTTAAATAATAAATAAATAAATAAATAACGCACACACTCAACATAGCCCCGCACTAGGGAAACCCTGTGTCGCGGGTGCCATGGACACACATATAGACAACCACAAATTACACCCAAACTCACGAGAGAAATAAATGTAGCCCATACAAACATTTCTCCCGGCCCGGGAATCGAACCTGGGACCTCTGCGTGGCAGTCCGGCATGGTAACCGTTCGGCCACGGAGGCAGTTAAATTTCTTAAAGGCAAGGATGTCTGAGTATCATACGAAATGTTTTTCGACTTTTGCTCACATTTTCAGTATTTTTCATATTATTTTCTTCATCGAGGTCGTAAGTCGGTTGAAGCGTGTGCACTGTGGAAACTGAAACCCCCTACAACCTGACTCCATCATCCTTCCAGAGGAACTACAACCAGGTTGCGATCTGTGGTGGCCTGTGTGGAAGTCGGGTCGCTACAGAGACAAGACGTGTAAAAATGGGATTATGTATGATTATGTAAAAATGATTGTGTCACCCGATGTGACTACGGTGCTCCGACATAGTCCATGCAGCACTTGCTCGTGTGTTCCTCGTGCCCTAATACCTGTACGAAGGAAGACCTCTACGCGGCCATGGATCGCGTAGTCAACGTGGCAATATACTATTCAAGTAAAATAAAAGAAACATCGACACGAAAAGAGAAAGATTGATGTGTCTTATTGCGCCTCTTGATCAGACTTGATCTTACCATTTCTATACACCATCCTAAGATTCGTGCCACCTTCATTTTCTCCTCAGTAATGTTTTCTGGTCTCTCCAATATTTCGTATGCATACACTGTTGCTAATCCACGATTATTTTTTCCTTTTACTAGATTGTGGTCGTAAATCTGTAAACAAAAGGATAATCAGTCACCTCTCATCTTTTCTTTTCAAATTTGTTTATAATGACCCTCCCTATCAACCTCTTGATTATACGGGAGGGGCACTATAACCTGTGCAAGTCAGCCCGCACAGGGACCTACACAGTCAGGTCCTGACCTCAGAGCTCAGCCCGTTTGCACGGACTTCATCCGGTTCTCAGAAGGTCAGTGCCTTAGGTGAGCTGCCCCGGGTGCACGTATAGCACTCTCCCTATTTACCAGATAAATACCGGAGCTGTAGGCGCATTGCTTTCCCGTTGCGTCAAAAAGTCAACTACCAAATTTGCTCATTGGTGGCGGATCTGTAAGGCACGGTCACTTCCTAACGCTGAAAAACAGCGTCTCTCCAGTTCCCGATCACTGGCGCAGGGATAGGCCCCGACGCCCGCCGTATGCTGTATTGCTAGCACGACAGGGCGCAACTTGTGCGAGAGGGACATAAAGCGCGAGATGTCTATGCGAAAATAGCAGTATTTCGCGATTTATGTCGCTGTCTTAAGTCGCGCCCTGTCGTGCAAGCCCTAGTCTCTCCAGAATTTCCTATCTCTCGGGTGGGTAGATAGGGACAAACGGATGGTCAGTTAAACCATCAGGCGTCATTCAGTACGAATAATATTGGGAATAAGAACACTGTTACCTTTTTTATCCACGTAACTACTTCAGGCGCTTCATCAAATTTAGGGCTTTTGATATATGAATCAATGATACAATGTAGGGAGTTCCGGAACGACTCTTGCTCCTGAGATCTTGATAATGTCGAGGCATTTGCTGATATTGTCACCTTTTTCCACCTTTGTCCGTGTAATACTCTAAAAATCATCTAAATGAGTTGTACGTCAGCATCGAAATCAGCATTCTGTGCTTGGGGCAATAATGCTTAAAGTATCCCGTCATATGTCGATTATTATAGCTATTTAACAGAATTCTTTATTAAAACGACTAGTGCTTACACTACAGAAATCCATTTAGATTTCTCTGGCTTACAGTCTCAATATCACTGGAAATAATCTCAGTAAATATTGTTAAAAAAACCGACCTCAAAAGTAGGTGGAATTACATCTATTTGCCTAGTTTTATTGAAATCGGTTACCGGAAAGTGCGCAAACCCGGATTCATCGCCTAGTTCGCCACTATACGGAACTTGACACAAGAGATAATAAAAAATCGGTTCTCACTACTCAAAGTATATTGAGAGAAAAACGCCTTGAATTGGAGAATAGCAAAATCAACCATTAAAATAATTGGTCCTTGTAATAAAATTTAGGCGCTATTTATAAAAATGAATCTTCATGGGTGAACGCCCACCCTTAGAGGTGGATGATTTTCTTCAAAAAGAAAAGCGACCACTATAGAGGTACTCTCTTTCCAACAAAAAAAAAAAGAATCACCAAAATCTGTTCACAAATGGCGGAGTTATCACGTAACATACAAAAAAACATACTGTCGAATTGAGAACCTCTTCCTTTTTTTTGAAGTCGGTTAACAACACACAATTCACACTCACCCATAGTTATGAATCATATTTTTATAAATTGTGTTGCTATTTATGCATTTCCTGAAAAAATCCGAATTCATGTTTTTCTCCTAATTTGTTGCATAAATAAAATGTAAATGGAAAAGTGTTTATTTTACTACTTTTTAAAAAGACCACCGTTCGTTTCAGTTTGCTTCCGAAGAGATACTAAGACTACCATTGTTGGAGCACCTGAGGCAACAAAAGACTGACGTTAGAAATTTGTTTGATAATGGAAGTTCACGTTACGTATGAACTATGGAAATTAGAATCAATAGATAACACCATGTAACATGATTTTTGTTTCTGGGTTATCAATATCATGTTCTAATTGTTTTAAACATAAAAAAATAAACTTTATTTTACGTAATATAAGATCAAAAGATTTATCTGCAAATTTTCCTACGAAACATTGAAATTGGCGTACCATTAAGGAATTTTTTATTTAAAGACATAGAGGCTACATTGTATTTCAAACCAATATAAATTTCAACCAAAATTCTACAAACTGATGACAAAGAAGTTAGAAATATTTATATTTGGGAGATTATTTAAATACCACTAGGTAAATATGTAAATGCCCGGGTTGTTGCTGATGCATCAGCAATTTCAAAGCCCGGTATTTTACATAGCAGCGGACGCTGATTTTTGACATCAGTAGATGCTGATTTTATGTATATAAAAAAAAATACGTGAAAAATGTACTGTAATCCTTACTGAATCTACCTACTTGAAAAAGCTTTCCATTTTATTTGGTTTTGTAATAAAACGTTATTTCAAAAGAATCAATCAGTATGCGAACAATCAATCTGCCTAGCCTAATCGTTCTGGAATTTTGCTTGCTTATCTTTTTTTCGGCTTACAGTCAGTTCCTGTCAGGGTTGTAAATGATTAAGGCGTGCCTTTTAGGTCATGACACGACTCTAACGTTCACAATTAATATGAACATCGATGATTGCGGATGTTTTAATTTATGCAGATTATCCGCGGATGCGGATGCGGATGCTGATATTCGCAACAACCCTGGTAAGCACCACAGTGGCTGCCACAAAAGCGAAATGTCAAGGGTGTAAGTACTCTTTTCTACATAGGTACTTGCTGTTCAATTAAACAGAAATTAATGGCGTAAAATTAGAAACAGAACCTTTTTGAAAATTTGTCATATAGGGTTTACGCAGAATGTATGGTGCCTTTGCCAAGAAAAAGCTTAAATAGTATACGTTTGTGTAAGACTTTCGCGTCGGATGGATCCATCTCCATAGAGGTTACAGTGGTACTGAACGCGTCACTTATTTTTAAATGAATTTTCAAAGTTTGATTAGTCAGGTAAGATGTGGTCATTTAGTGTAGTCGTAAATTAGACTTAGTTGATCCAGCGTTCAAAAGTTATAAAGGTGTTTTACTGTCCACGCTGGAATAAGGTTTTTGCCATTCTTTTAATTTTTATATAACTGCGTCCGTGGCTGAACGGTTACCATGCCTGACTGCTACGCAGAGGTCCCAGGTTCGATTCCAGGGCCGGGAGAAATATTTGTATGGCCTACATTTATTTCTCTCGTGAGTTTGGGTGTAATTTGTGGTTGTCTATGTGTGTGTCCGTGGCACCCGCGACACAGGGTTTCCCTGGTGCGGGGCAATGTTGAGTGTGTGCGTTATTATTATTCCTCAAACTCGAGAATCACAGAAACTAGCTCAGTTCTGATTGTACTAAAAAAAGTCCTGATTATTAGTCGGTTCTTATGGTAAAAAAACGCTAGATTTAGTCGTTATACCGTTTAAAAATTATAAGGATGTTATATTGTCCTTGCTGAAATAAGTTTATTTCGGCGACACTATTTTTGAATCTCGGGAACCAAAGCTCATAATTTAGATCTGCTTGCTCCCAGAAAGACGTCAAATAGTTGATACTAGTCGCATAAGTTTAGAATTAGTCGCTCCTTAGTTCAAGACACCGCTAAACTAACCTTATAATTTTTGAACGGGGGACTAACTAAATCTACTCGACTTTTTACTTGACTAACAGTCAAATTTCAAAAATTTGAGCATGGTCACGCTGGTATTGTAGTTACCTGGCACCTATTGATAGGAATATTAGTGGGAGCATAGCAGTGTGATTCTCACATCTTTGAGAGCAGCGAGCTCTCTTTTAGAGCTACGTACTCTACAAATTCTTACAGCACGATTCACGAATGGATCAACGCCATCTATACTTCACTACTTGTAATATCGTAGCAGTAGAGCTCCTTGTGAAAGAGTTCATCCAGGAAAGTACTGCCACCTTACCTATTTCTGCCGCAGTAATGCGAGTATTACAGCATTTCGGATTTGAAGGGTAAGGGTGAGTACATGAGATATTTTATGGCACAGTGGCAGTGCCCTTTGAGTGGCACTATAACTGATATGGACAGGCGTAACGCTTTCCACCAGGCGCACGACTTCTTCGTCCCGTAAGTAAGTATCATAACAAAATTCTTAATTCGTACTTTGGTTTATTCTAGATCATACTTATATTAAATTTTAACGAAAACTGATAATAATAATATGTAAAGCAATCTCATATTATTATACATATCTTGACTGAACAAATCTAAAGTAGTCCTCTCTAGTACCTAAGGTAAATAGGGTTAATAAAAACGTTATTTAGTGATTTCCAGCATTTTAATTTTATAGTGCTTTTTTTTCAATACGATAGCCTTTTCTTTTCAATTCTGTTCATAATATTTTGTAACAGAGTTTATGCTACGCTAAACACTTTTATTAGGATTTTTTACAAATTATATTAACGCACTGCATGTGGACCTAAGTTCTATATATTTTAAATAAACATATTATCACCTTGAAACATAAAAGGTAACAAAATCAGAACAAATTGAGTTGTTACATGTGCATTACAATTAAAAAGTACAAAATACACACCACACCTAATTTGCAAATAACACTCAAATTGCACGATATTTTTTAATTTTTACTTAAAAAAACTATGTTCTTAGTCTATGATAAACTTAACAAATAAATTAGACGTTTCGTCGGAAAATATTGTCGAGAATTTTGAAGAATAAATCGTGTGGAAGTCCTCTGGTAACTTGTTGGATTTGAGTTCTAATAAGGTCGTATGTAGCTTCTTCGAACACTGAGAATGTGTGAGGCAGTTGCAGTTCTTCGTAAAGATCTTTGATTCTGGCTACATCATCAGGGTTGGCGCTAGCGTAGTGGTTTTCCATAATTTGCTTTTGAGCCGGTGTGGCCCTTTGAAGGGCGACGACCGCTAACCAAGTACATTTGCCGTCTTGAATGTCAGTGCCATTTTTACCAGTGACTTGCGGGTCTCCGAAGCAATCCAAGAAGTCGTCCTGTAAAAAGTATAAATACAAAATATATATACATTTCAGACGTTTTTGTGTACGTAGATAGTGTAAATTGAAATATAGTGTAAAATTTGACCTTGCACATGGTTTTTCGTATATTATATGAAATTCATTATGTAAGTCTTAATAGATATGAATAAGACAACCACTGCCGGCATTGTTTTTCGAACTTCGTTCAGTGACGCACGCTCACATTGCGAGTTCATTTCTTCTCCACTAAATCACTGACTGAACATTGTTCTAACAAGAAAGACAAAGAATAAAAAAAAATTAAATTAATGTTTTATATTTTTATAAAAGTGTCTTATATTGCAAAGAAAAAATTATAACGGTGTAACTTGGGCCTTTTCAAGACGAGAGTAAATAGGCTTTATATTTGCTTGTGCATGCCCCATCGTCGACCTCATCGTCACTTTCCCTTTCCTTCAGTTGAGATGGAGGTCAAATTCGCACTTATTTTTAATTAAAAAATATCCACTGTATATGAATTACATAAAATCTACAAAGTAACCGAAACCCGGTTTCAGCAAGTTTTTAAAAACAGAGATTTGTTAGCCATAATAAATTTCCAATCTTTTAATTTGGGTTTCATTTTTGCTACTGAATATTATATTTTTAGTCATAAAAATCTTTGCAGTAGGAAAGAAATACAAGTGGAACATAGCAGCAATGTATGAACTCATATAGGCATGTCTTGACGGCACCGGACGAAGTTTTCGAAAGGCACTGGGTGAAAGTTGTAACGGCAGTGAATTATATTATATTAAGTTAGTTATTTACATCCTTTCCGCTTCATTTATGTTTTTTTACGGATTGTAAATACATTATGCATGCTATTCGAATCATGATCTAATTTGACGACCTCGGTGACCCAACAGTTTATAGTGTGGGCGGTGGATGAGGACGCCTCGGGTTCGATTCCCGGTTAGATCAAATGGGAAGTGAACTTGAATTGATTCTGGTCAAGGTGTTCTGGGAAGTGCCCTAGAGTGAATTCCGTTGCTATGAGTACCAACTTAGTACAGGGAATTCCCTATTATTATTTACATTATTAATTATTTGTTTTTAAACCAACAACTGAATAGTGTATTACCTGAATTTGGAAGAATTCTCCCATTTCCAAGAGTATATTTTTCGCCTGCCTATGTGTCTCCACGTCATCTACGCCAGTCATGAGAAGAGCTAGGCTCACGGGCATTTGGAAAGTGTAATAAGCGCTTCTATACTTTGTAATTGTTGTGTAGTTCTCCATTGTGAACTGGGACAAATCTGGCTTGTCAGTTTTGGTCATAGACTGTTGCAAATATTGGCCCAACGCGCATTTTACCAACATCTGTGAAAATAAATAATTTTATGTATTAGTATTATAACAATATATAGGTAACAAAACAGAAACAATATACAAGTTAGACACAAAATTAGACATTAAGTGGAGGTATTTGTATCCCAGCCGGGTTCCATCAACACTAGCAGCGCTCGTGTTGACCTCCCTATATGGCTATGGTAATACTTAGGACACGGACGGGAAACTTTTGTTCGTTTGTCTTTTGTTTTGTTTCTTATTTTGGGAATATAATTATTTTGTACTGTACATCATCAGTGTTTTGTAGAAAGGGCGAAAGCGCATTTAAAAAAACATAGTTAATTAAAACCAAAATCGAATTTTGGAACTGGACGTGAATATCATATAATACAATACTGTCTCCGTGGCTGCACGGTTACCAAGCTGGACTGCCACGCAGACCCGGGACGGGTTCGATACCCGTGCGGGGAGAATATTTACTAAATAAATAAAAAATTAATAACGAATAAAACAAAAGCAATGGCATGAACCAAAAGCAACAAAACAATATTGTGTGTGTGTGTGTGTGTGTGTGTGCGCGTGTGCGTGTGTGTGTGTGTGTGTGTGTGTGTGTGTGTGTGTGTGTGTGTGTGTG